CTGCTGCTGGGGACCAGGCTCTTCTGGGCAGGTCATTCCTTGGAGGAACGAGGCTCCTGTTCTGCAGGAGTGGGTTCAGGTCACTCAGATGGGGGGGAGCACAGCTCATGTTGTGCTGACAGATAGCCCTGTCACCTCTCCCAGGCCCTTGTCACCCAGGGTGTGTCCCAACCCCTGCCCAGCCTGGCCCATGGCTCCCAGGGCACTTGCTGAAACCTGGTGGGTTTTTTTTTCTGCCCCTTTTATTTCTGTAGCTTTAATCAAACAATTTGTTGCTGACGTGGCCTGGGGGGACCTGGACTTCCTCATCGTGGACACGCCGCCAGGCACGTCCGACGAGCACATCTCCACGGTGGAGGCCTTGCGGCCCTACAAGCCGCTCGGAGCAATCCTGGTCACAACGCCCCAGGTAGGGCTGGGGCTGCGCTGGAGTTCCCGAGCAGGCTTCTGCCTCTGGGTGTGGTTTGGGGGGAAAACATGCACCCCAGGGTGGGTGTTTGCACAGACCTGTCCGTGGCTGCTTGTTCTACGCTTCTGCCTCCCGTTTGATGCACATTTGCTCCAGACCCACTGCCCGTCTGGACAGATGGACACCCCTGATCTCTGCTACTCTCTCCTGCAGGCCGTGTCTGTGGGAGACGTGAGGCGAGAGCTGACATTCTGTAAGAAGACGGGCTTACGGGTTCTCGGCATCGTGGAGAACATGAGCGGCTTTGTCTGCCCGCACTGCTCGGTGAGTTTATTTGGACCGCTGGGCTGTTGCGGGTTCTCGTTCGTGATGGGGGGAAAATTGGTGAATGCCACGAGGGCGATGCTGTGAGCTGGGGAGACGAGAAGCTTCTGGCTGCTGCGTGTCAGCTTTGGAAGGAGCTGCTGGCTCTGCTTTCCTAGAGAGAGCTGGGGGAGGGCAGGGGCAAAGGCAGCGCCCTGAGGCTGGGAGGTGGAGGGGAGCTGGCTCTGCTCACAGGCAGGCAGTGTCGCACAGGGCTGCGGGGTTTGTGACTCGCTGCTTTTGCCCTTCCTCCTTCAGGAGTGCACAAACATCTTTTCCAAAGGGGGAGGCGAGGAGCTGGCCAAGCACGCGGGGGTCCCCTTCCTAGGTGAGTGGCTCTGGAGCAGAGCTCGCTGTGGTCATCAGCGATGTCCCTGTGGTGCTGTGGGAGTGCCTGAGCAGAGGGATGCAGCGTTATGGGGGCGGGCAGGCTGGGCTCCAGGTCGCTGGGAGCTTCTGCTGCCCTGTCAGAGCCAAGACATGGCTTTTGCTTTGCTTCCCTGCCATCCAAACTGCTCAGAAAGGGCATCTGGCCCCACTGGGGCAGAGGCAGTGATCAGCAGCCTGCTCTGGCTGCCGACATCGTGGTGACAGAGTAAGCGAGCCTGGAGCTAAACAGAGCCATCCCGAAATGCCCCAGAACCTCCCTGAGAAATGGGGTCTGAGGGCTGAACCCTGCCCTCCCAACAGGGCTGGGGTTGGGGTGGGGTCTCTTGTGAAGCACTGTAGGGGGGGTCTTGGACCAGTTGCTGGTGAATAGCTCCTGGAGGGCTCCATGATTGTAGTGGTTGCCCTTTTTCCTCCTGCTTCCCTCGGAGCTGGCTCTAGTGTGGTCCTTTTTTTAGTATCCTGACTCTGGGCCTTTGCCTTACAAGTAGCAAGCAGTCACCGTCCCCGTTCCTCCTCTCCCACAGGCTGTGTTCCTCTGGACCCCCAGCTCAGTCAGAGCTTGGAGGAAGGCAGAGACTTCATCCAAGAGTTTCCCAAGAGCACTGCCTTCCCGGCCTTGACGCGCATCGCCCAACACATCTTGGATGGAACGTCACAGCCGAGCTCCTGAGGAGGGCACGGAGCTGGACTCTCGCCGGCAGAGCCCCTGGGCTGGCAGCTCCACCAGCAGCCGTGTCGGCAGGGAAGGGAGGCGCAGAAACTAGTTATAAAACTGGCCCAATGGAGAGAGTGGGGGAGCACAGCATCAGTGCCGCTCACGGTGATCCAAAAAGGGGAGTGCTGCTCCAGCCCCCCAGATCTGAAGAGCCCTTGCGTGGGTGCTCCTGCACACACACCACAGCCTGCTTCTCGCCTTCCCGACACAAGGGTGCTCTGCCCATATGGCACGTGTGTTCGCAGCGCCTTCCTCCGCAGCCAGCCGTTGGGCGGGTGCTTGGGGAGCTCTAGCTTGTGTCTGCGGTGTCTCATACGCCGCGGTGCTTCTGGCGATCACCCGATGCGGCCACAGCGGCAAACGCCATCGCCTGTTCTCCTGTCGCTGAACCCAGCCAACACCCATTGTCTGCATCATGGCTCCGTGTGCTGCTGCCTTCCGCTTTTCTCGCGTTGACGGATTATACAGTACTTGGCTCAGTGGCTGGTGCGATCGTGCTGGATGCCCTGAGGTGGACCCAGGCCAGGCCACCGCGCTCTGACACCTCGCATCGCTGGTTTCTGATGGGCTGATGAGGGCATGGTGTGTGCTTCACGTGAGAAAACGTCTTCAGGAGATCTGCCACCCGTCTGAGCTCTGCATCCTGCCGTGCTGCCTTTCTTGGGCTGCTGGGGGTTATTGTGACTCAGGAATTATTTTTAAAGGTTCCAGGCAGTAAATACTTTTCTTAAAATCCAAGTCTGTGACTTCTGTTGTTCCACGGCTTCAGGCCTCCTTGTAGCTGTGAGTCTGGGTACTGTGTGCGCTTCCCGCACGTCCTGGTCCCTCCTGCCTTTCCCTGTTTCCTTGCTGGGGTTCAGCTGAATCTTTCCTCCTTCCATCCCAGCTCCAAGCTCCAGCCAGTCCCTTCTCTTGCTGGAAGCTGGCCCTGGCATTCCTTTGTGGGGTGCTTTGTGCTGGCTGTTCCCCACACCCCTGCCACGCGTGGGGCTCCTCCGTGTCCCTGGGCGCCTCCTTGCTCCGAGTGTCCTGTTCCCTTGAACCTCCTTCCACGGCCCCGGAGCTGCTGCTCCCAGGTGACCTGCCCTCTTCTCGCCGGCTTCGGTTAAGCTGGGGAGGGAAGCGAAGGTGGTGTCCTTGCGTCTTATCTCCCTCCCAGCTGGACTCTGAGCCCCTGCTGCCTGCGTGCCCTCTCCGCGCTCAGGACTCGCTCTTGCTGTGCTGTTTTGGGGAGGCAAAGCGGGAAATGGCAGACTTCTCCCAACCCAACTGGATTGTAGCTGGCAGCCATCACCTGGAGGAGAGCAGGAGGAGCATCTGTCCGTGCTTGCGTTGTGCCTGCAGCCAGGACTCACACCTGACCAGGTTTTCCCCACGTGCAACTTTCCTGGAATATTTTTTCTGACCTTTGGTCACTTATCTGGGATGTGGAGAGCTGGGCAGCGCGGCTGGAGTCTGACCGGGCTGTTGGCTTCTGCAGGACGGCCAGGCACCTCCTGCTCCCTCCCTGGGCACGTGCCACCCACCCAGGGCTTGCAGCAAACCTGCTGCCAACACCTCCAGCGCCCTGGGGAGCCTGTGCTCCTCGCCCCGTGTCTGCAAACCCCAAGGGGCTCTGATAAGAAACCCCAGGCGGGTGCGGCACGTGCTTTGGAAAGAACATACTTACGAGATGGGTTGCGATAGCTCCAAAGGTTTATTTATTTGTCTGCGATTATTTATCAGGGAAGTGACGTGTGCGGCTCTCTGCACCCTGCCTACACCTCCTAGTGCAAGGAATCATTAAAGCAAGTCGTCTGTCCCCTTCCTTAAACCTACCTGGGAGCTCGAGGGGGCTTTTAGGATTTCCTGTCTGCTCCGTGGCAGGAGGATGCTTCACCTTGTCCTACTGCCTGGCCGCGGCAGGGGTGCCGCTCGCAATGGGGGAGGCTCTGGGCTGAGGGTGCAGCTTTCCCCCATCCTGGAGGCTCGGAGATGCTCGTAGGGACCACGCTGCCCCAGGGGCTGCTCTTTAAATATTAAAGGAGTAAAATATTCCAGTTTGAAGCCTGGGGAAGCTGGTGCCCACCCAGCATCGCCCGGGCCTGGCTCTCCTGGCTGCAGCAGCACCAAGGTGGGCAGCTGGAGATGGTGACAAAGGTGGGCTGGCCATGGAGCTGGAGGTCCTGCTGCTGCCCTGGTGAGCTGGGGACAGGGTGGTGACAGGCCGGGGTCCATGGCTGGGCAGTGACGTGTCCCCCAGGAGAGGCCAGCCCACCTCAGCAGTGAGCAAAGCTGTCCTCAGAGGTGTCGCGGAGGGCCAGGCCCGCCATGGCCGGGGGGTGCAGGCAGGTGAGGTTGTTGTAGGTGTAAACAGGGACGTGGGCATCGTCCCCCTCGGCCACGGACTGCACGAAGCGTGGGACCACCACGGGGTGCTGGAGGGAGAAGTCCCGCAGGCCCTTCAGCGAGCAGTTGCAATGCCAGTTGTTGCCCCCCAGCCACAGCTGCTCCAGGGCAAAGGAGCTGCACAGGAAACCCACCGAGAAGGTCTCCAGCGAGTTGTTCTTCAGGCTGAGGTACCGCAGGTTGGCCAGCGGGGAGATGATGGCGTTGTCCAGCGTCTCCAGCTGGTTATGGGAGAGGTCAAGCCAGAAGAGTTTCTGGAGCGGGCTGAAGGTGTCCTGGGAGATCTCCAGGAGCTGGTTGGAGGAAAGGAAGAGGTACTCCAGGTTGCTCAGACCCACGAAGAGCTGGGGCGAGAGGTGGCTCAGCTTGTTGTGCTTCAGGTCGAGCTCCAGGAGCTCGTGCAGTTCGCTGAAGCTTTGGTCCTCGATGAGGGAGATGGCGTTGTGCTGCAGGAAGAGGCGCCGCAGGCTGGAGAGGCTGGAGAAGGTGTTTGCCCGGATCCTGCCCAGGCAGCTGTGCTCCAGGTGCAGGCTGTGCAGCTTGGTGACCCCCTTGAAGGCATAATCGGGGAGAACCTTGATGCAGTTGGCGGACAAATGCATCACCGCCACGTTGTACAGCCCCAGGAACGCCCCAGCCCTGATGTCTTGGAGCTGGTTGTTGTTGAGGCTGAGGACCTCCAGCTGGCCCAGCCCATCGAAGGTCCGTTCCGCCAGGCTCCGGATCCTGTTGTGCCCCAGCTGCAGCTCCTCCAGGAACTGGAGGTCTTTGAAAGTCCTGGGCCTCAGGCCGGTGATGGAGTTGGTGGACAAGCGCAGGACGTGGAGGCTCAGGAGGCCCAGAAACGTGTCCTCGAAGAGCGAGACGAGCCGGTTGTGGGAGAGATCCAGCCACCGCAGGGACTTCATGCCCATGAAGGCGCGGGGCGCGATGGCATTGATCTGGTTGTGGTTCAGGTAGAGCTTCTGGAGCTTCTGCAGCTTGACGAAGATGTTGATCTTGATGCCCTTGAGCGCGTTCCCGCTCAGGTCCAGCTCCTTCAGCTCCGTCAGGCTGCAGAAGAGCTGGTGCTGGAGGTAGGGGAGCTTGTTCCCAGCCAGGATCAACTCCCTCAAGTTGGGCAAGTCATGGAAAACCTTGTCGGGCAGGACCACGAGCGAGTTCCAACCCAAGTTCAGATACCAGAGGTTGGAGAGCCCAGCGAACAGCCCTTCCTCCACCTTGCTGAAGAAATTATTGTTGAGGCTGAGGGAGACGAGGTTCTGGGTGTGGAGGAAGGTGTGGGGAGCCAAGTGCTTGAGGCGGTTGCGTTCCAGGTGGAGGTGATAGAGGTTCCTCAGCCCGTGGAAGGCGTGCTGCTCCACGGCGGCCAGCTGGCTGCTCTGCAGGTCCAGAAAATCCAACGCCGAGAGGTTCCTGAAAGCAGCAGCCGGCAGGAGGGTGAAGTTATTGCCGTCCAGCCACAGGGCTTTGGCGTTGGGGGGCACGTCCTCGGGCAGGCGTGTCAGGTTGCGGGCACTGCAGAAGACGTTGAGCTCCTCGCTGTAGTCGTCCAAGCTGCAGGCGCAAGGGCTGG